CCCATAGCAATCGAGTTTGGTCTCGAATACGTGCCTGATGGTGTTTGGCAACTCTGGGAAAAACTGCAAAACCGCAAGCTGCGGATCACCAAGCCGCATAGGGATCCTACGGTCTCTACTCTTTTCACAGACGGGACATGCACTGACCCAAAAAATGTATTAATCCGTTTATCAGCCGGAGCTCTGAACATCCAAAAAGGCCCGTATACCGTATATTTCTAAAAATATTCACTCCTTAGTACCAGGACTCGAGCAATCCAGCGCAAGAAGGGAATTGTACGGGATCATGTTGGCGTTGGAAAAGTTCATTGCTTCACACATTTACACTGATTATCAGAATTGCGTGGGTAAGATTCGTCTTTTGCAGACTCACGGTCATGTTGTTCCTCCCTCGCGGAGCAATCAACCCAAAAAATCACGAAAGAAAAACAACAAAGAGCTAGAAATGAACAGATAGAAGACAATGAACAAAAAGACAAATGAAAATAAAAAACGATTAAACAAATGAAGAAAATGTCAAAAATTTGTGGAAGTGTATTGCAGATCTCTTGGCAGATCACGGAGCACATGTTTATGTTGAGAAGATCCAAGCACATGCAACTTTGGACAAGCTGTAAGAACAAATTCGCGAATTGTGTTGGCAAAACCACCAAGTTGACCACGTAGCAAAATCCGTGCTCTTTTGAGAGTACCTTGCCAAAGACTTTATAAGCAAATTTTAAACAAGTTCATTGACCAACGAGCTCGTTTGCATAATTATCACACATTCTTGATTTCTGCTGCAAACCATCGTTTTTCACTCACCGAAGACAAGGAAAAATAAGTTTTCAATAAGTTTTCACTTAACCCTCTCATGTCTACAGACAATGCACTTATTCTTGACATCGACTGGGAGCAATGCACTTATTCTTGGCATCGACTGGGAGAAACGCGACCAGGTCTGTCAAACACAAGACAACTGGGCAACAGCGTTTACTGATGCCTTACTGCAATGGGCGATTTTGCTGCGCTGGCCTCATGGCGAGCCTGTTTGTCCTGAAAACGATACCCCTTGGTGTGAAATGTATATCGACTGACTTCATTGCGCGCGCACGTACTCTAGCCCCAACACTCATTCCTGGGACTTAGAAGTGTGGGGTCGCTGCTAGGTACGCTTCAAAACACAATCCGCTTGTGTATCATGTCTCTCCCACTTTGGGACGGGACATTAGCACCTTCGCAATTTGCTTCAAAATGCTTATTCGCAAAGGGGTCATTGCCATGCCTTTCGCATATTGTACCAAGGCTTTGTCAGCACGCAGCTTAGGGTTTCTGCAGTAAAGCCCCGGCATTGCGGCCCGGCCTTCACTTGTTGGTGGCCTTAACGCTGCACGGTGGTTTCAGAACACGCTGACCAGCACAAAGAAAACTCGGAACGATTTGTCCTTTACGTTGACGACACCACCGCTTTTTCAATTTCGTAATTAAACACCTTGATGTACTTGAATCCGCAACCAGATTGCTTTCGTTCGGCCACGCCCTTAGTTTCTTGCCTTCGTGCCTTCCGTGCGTTCGTGTTTTCTCGCTGTAAATTGTTCCTGCATTGGGGACCAACCAAGTTGCGCCTCGGTGTCAGATCATTGCAAAGAGGAAAGAAAGGTTGGGCTTGGAATCTAATAAAAGAAACTACCGCCAAAATCGACCATGTTGGTAGTTTATTAGCGGCTTGAAAGGGCGGTAATTTAAAAACATATATATATATATATATCATGGTGTTCTTTATTGGGGATGCTTTTTTCATGGGTACTCGGAATAACTATGCGTATATATATATATACTACGCATATATATATATATACTACGCAAAGAAACTATGAATGCCAGCTGGGCCGCCCACGAGGAGGGCTGTCAACATGACCCAGCAGCGTTGCCCATCTAGTTACCTGGGCCCAGTTCTTCCTCTGATGTCTCGCCGTGTCCCTTCAAAATCGATGAAGTCTTGGAATGGTTTCACCTTACCTTTTCTGATGGGTGATATTGAGCCAATGGCATGATTCTTTTCGGTCCGATCGGTTCTGAAGGTTTTGCAACCTTACTCTGAATCCGCTTCGCTGCAACCTTGGCGGCCTTGGCGCGCTCTCTGCAGGCAATCTGTGCACTTTACGGCTCACGGACTTATATAACTCGCAAAAGAGGTCGCTGGCCGATTTGGAGCTCAAACGTCGAGATCCTTCAGATGTCACGGGGTCCCTTGCCACAGATTGCAACCTAGTGGAGGCGTCGCCCCCCGGATGTTTGCTATTCCTGAGCAGTAAGATTAAGATGGTTTAAACCTCCGGTCAAACCTTTGACGCCTCCAAAACTGCAAAGACCAAGCAAGAAAAAACGTGAGAAAATCCATGGCTGGAGAAAAATAAGAAGTGAAGTCCTTCACAAAGCAAACGAAAAACTCTGAGTTTTGTTACAGTGTTGTTACGTTGATATTGGAGTGCTATTACGTGCTTTATCAAGCTTTAGAGCTTTGTGATGAACGGTGAACTGTTTCTCTCTATGACATGTGTATACCATCGGGAGCAGCCCAGACTTTGGTGGATCCAATGTTGTCCGGCAATTGGGGCAAACTAACTGTATGACGAATCAACTGGCCCAAAGGATGACAATGCAGGAAACTCAGCCGGCTGAGATGCAAGCAGCCCGACTGCGAGCAGTCTCAGTCCAGACAGTGGATGAACCACTGGGAGGAATTTCTACAAATTCAGCAGGCCATGTGTTCCCCAGTTGGTGTTTCATCTTCAGGTCACTCAGCACAGTGCCAATGACTCAGCTCGTCACAGAGCTCAGCTCAGACTGGTAGAGACTGAGAAGGTGCTTTCTAGCCAGCAGCCAGCTGCACTTTGTTCTGGTCACGCTGCTGCGTGGCAGGGTGCTCGACATTGCATGGCATACAATCCTGGCGTCTCAGAAGGCGTTGGCGCACAGGAAATTGCTCCAGCAGTAGCACCCAAAGGTGGCTTCAAGGTATGTAGGGAGCTTGTTCCTGATCTTGGCCACTAAGTTTGGCACGCATGTCGAATCTCAGCTCAAAAGCTTTGACAAAAAAGCGTGTTATGAGATGGAGTCTGAAATTTCATTGCGCGATGAGGTCCTTTTGGGGTTGGGGATATGTTAGGCGATTTATGTTGATCTTGGGTTCCGATACAACTTTTCACGATTTTTTCCTTCCCGCAAAGCAAAAACACTGTAAAAACCTGCGTTTTTCGACATCACCGAGCTGAAATTCTCGGCTGCCGAGGGGCCCGAAACCCTGTAAAACACAGGTTGGGCCTATGTTGGGCCGATGTTGGCGTCTGTTGGCCCCAAGTTGGCCTATGTTGGCCCTATGTTGAGGAATGTTGGAGGCTATGTTGGGCATATGTTGGGGATATGTTGGCTATCTTGG